AATAATGCGTGTCTACCCAGATCTCTGGTGTTCACAAAATAAATTATTTTTCCTGATTATCAATTATGGTTCCTTATAGTTGGCTTGGTCTAAAGACCTCCTAAATTTTAGGCAAATTTTAAAAATATAGAAGTCACTTTCTGTCCTACCTTTTAAAAAATAGCTCTATTAGTTGATAGAATATGACTTTAGTTTAATGTAATAGAGAGATTTTCTCAAAAAAATTATTTGTTGTAGAGTTCTATTCATTTAAAACATGTACTTTACTATGCTCATGAGGAATTTGCCCACTATGATCATTTTTAAATTTAGGAAAAAATATTACCAAATTTAGACTAGATCTTGACTATCGTATCTAAATTTGGCAGTAAGAAAACTAAAATCACGTGAAGTCCTATTTTTGAAAAAAATTTATTACATTTTTGAACGAATTACAAAATTGCTTTTTTGAAATTTGGCTGCATGGCGCAGCAATAGGAGGTCTTTAGACCGAGCCAACCATATGAATAATAAATCTGATGTTGATCACAGGTATCAGATTTAATTGAAATTTCCTATCACAAACATGCAAAACGGTGCAATTAAGCACAATTCAGCACCATAGATTTTTTTCTCCACAGGTGAAACAGTCTTAAACATGTTGGAAGGCTTTGGACAATACTTTCCCTATCTTCCTCTCAGACCAGGCTTGGCTGTTACCACATGGGAATTGATCACTGATAGCTGGTGCTTGTATGATATACCTCTCATTAAATAAATTTGATTTAGATAACAAGTTCAGTTGGTCAAACAAAAATTTAGAGAAACAGAGAATCTATGAATTAATTTATACAAAACATACCAAACAAAATCCGAACCATTTTATTTTACAGCTTTCTCCTTGATGCCAATGGTCATGGTGACTATCACAATAGGAGTGGGCAGAGTCAAACTGCCACCTTTATACTTGTCAATATACATGCTCTCATTGAGCTACACTCCTTTAACCTAGGGTGGGTTATATGGGCAAAAGCCCCCATTTAAAAAATAACAAGTTCAGTTGATCAAATAAAAATTAAAGAAACAGAAAATTTTTGGAAACGATTAATTTATACAAAACATATCAAACAAAATCTGAACCATTTTATGACTTTTTTCTTATTGGCCATATTGCTGACAAAGATATATATAATCATGTGATAATTTTAATCTATAGGACAGGGGACTGATTGGGCAAAAATCCGACCAGTCTCCTACCCAAAATTATAAATTGGTCAGTATCAAAGAAACAGAGAATGTATGAAAATGATTATACAAAATAAATGCTATTTTACAACTTTCCTCTTAACATCAGAGCCCAAATACAACTTCAGGGCCACCAACATGCTCTGGATTGTGACCTCCTGTGCTTGAAACAAGTTGCATATTCTCTTAATATTCCTCCAGAGTTATGACGATTTGGTCACAGAGCCATCCTTACCCTAGAGGTAGGACCGTTGCAGGCAACTTTTTGACCAGCATGTCAACAACCATCTCTGGTCTGGGAGGATAGTGAAAATGTCATTGACGATTGATGCAGTCTTGGTAAACTCCAGAGCTTTGCGCCCCTCCCTGAAAATTCAGTAGCATCGTTGTATCATCTGGAGCACCGTGGTCAGATTAGCCTTGTGTACATGAGGAAATGTGAGAATGACTGTAAAGTGTTCAAGGTAACGTGCATGCTTCAACACCTGCCAATTTTCGATAATCAAACATCGCATATTTGAATTGTTTCTTTTTAAACGGTGTATTGCCTTGACATCTTGTGATTATAATATTTATAGTATTATTATTATTACGATTATGCAAAGCAAAATATTATCAATGAAAATCTTGTAATTACCCAGCAAGATCTGCTCCGCGTTTTGATTCCAATTAAAATATTTATAAGCTAAAATAAAAGACACCTCATACATATCAATACAAGTAAAAAAAAGTAGTACCTCTGGTTAGTTATTAACATGTTTTCTTTAGGAGATCCAAACCAAACCAAACAATAATGTTCACGTTTTGTCACCTTGGACTCTGTCAAAAAATAAATTGTTTTTCCAAAAAAAAAAAAAATCAAATTTGTGTCTGTCCTACCAGAAAAAAAAAACCAATAGGATAAATAATTAATGTGTACACGTCGATCAAATAACAAACTTCTTTAAAAAAAAAATGTCATTTAATGACAAGAAAAATAAAAGAAGCAGAGATAAAGAAATAACTGAAAAAAGCAAATAAGTGTTTTAAGGATGGTGGTGGTTATTGCCCACCACTCATCATCACTCTAGTTTACTCTGTTAACTTGTACTAAATTTAAAATAGTTAACTTATTCTTAATTATGTAGTCGACAAAAAAACGTTCTCAGAATAGCTGAAGTAAGTTATAAACTTGATATTGCATTTGCTAATGAGAGCCTCTTAATGAGTTTGTGAATTTGATTATAGCGAGAAGTGCAAACGATTTCTCATGATGCTGCATGTTGTACTATATCTGCTAATGTGGAGAAGGTGGAGAAAAATGTTATCATGTGGACAAAAACTGTTATAAATGATGATAGTGATAACTCTCAAAATCCCTTTGTTATTTCGGAGGTTTGTGTTAATATTCTTTGTTAGTGTTTAGTGTTATAAATCCAAAAGTTATACACATCATTTATCCACAATAGGCCATGATATATCCTGACGCTTCTACAAATTCATCACTTGTTGATGATGCCGCTATCATCACTAGATAGTCAGAACATCATCAGGAAATTAATTTAGTGTAAACTTGCATAAATCTTACGATGCCGACGTAATATTGTGTAAATCTTACAGTGCCGACGTAAGTTTTACACTTTTTTATTATTAAACTTACAATTGACATGTGTAAAATTTTTTTATATTTTCTGGATGATTCTTAACAGTCTTCAGCCCCTTCTCAGTAGTTATAAAATGGATTGGGCATCATGGAGGTTCAACTTGATAATCAACAATGTGAACATAGAACACATACTTCTGGAAGTATATGAAAAATGTCTGAAGACAAAATCGAAAACTAAAACATCACTTGATTATGGCATCATTGATCTCAATGACAGTATTATTTTGAAAGCATTGGGAAACTCAGTAACATCATATTTTGAAGTAAAAATGAAAGATTATAAACCTAAGAAAGCAATTTCTGAAGAGGCTGCGAAAGCCTTGAAAAAATTTAATGTTGTAAGTAATTGAAGAATGAACTATAATAAATGATTGAATGTGATTATTTATAATTCACTTTTTAGACATCCATAAAAGATCTCAGAAAGGCACTCGCCGAAGTCAAAGTTGATTATAACAATTTAGATCATGATATTGTCTATCTGCATCGTCTCTTTCAAAAATTGTAAGTATTGGGTATAATTTTGTCACAAAAGTTGAAAAGTAATTTTTTCTAATATCGAATTTGTAAACAGCTATCTACTCTTCCAAGACAAATATATGCTAAACCTTGATAGCTCTGAACTACAGGAAGGGTGGTACAATAGCCACATTGTAGCTCCAATTTTTGATGATTGTCTTGAGTCAATAGATGAATGTATTCTCCGACGGTACTTGTTAAGAATGTGTTTTATGCTAATATTTTATTCCGATTTTAACTGATTATTGTGTTTATCATCTTAACCTCAGGGAAGTTTTCTTTTAAAAACTCCTTAGCAACCCGACTAGTGTGCTTCGGGTCATTATCCTGTTGAAATCTCCACCT